AAGGTACGCTGTTATTAGTACGGGGGCGCTGCTGCAGGGGCATGCTAGGGACGCTTCTGCAGGGGCATGCTAATGGTACAAGGTACGCTGTTATTGGTACGGGGACGCTGCTGCAGGTGCATGCTAGTGGTACAAGGTACGCTGTTATTGGTACGGGGACGCTTCTGCAGGTGCATGCTAGTGGTACAAGGTACGCTGTTATTGGTACGGGGACGCTTCTGCAGGGGCATGCTAGTGGTACAAGGTACGCTGTTATTGGTACGGGGACGCTGCTGCAGGTGCATGCTAGTGGTACAAGGTACGCTGTTATTGGTACGGGGACGCTTCTGCAGGGGCATGCTAGTGGTACAAGGTACGCTGTTATTGGTACGGGGACGCTGCAGGTGCATGCTAGTGGTACAAGGTACGCTGTTATTGGTACGGGGGCGCTGGTGCAGGGGCATGCTATGGTACAAGGTACGCTGTTATTGGTACGGGGGCGCTGCTGCAGAGGCATGCTAGTGGTACACGGCACGCTGTTATTGGTACGGGGGCGCTGCTGCAGGGGCATGCTAATGGTACAAGGTACGCTGTTATTGGTACGGGCGCGCTGCTGCGGGGGCATGCTAGTGGTACAAGGTACGCTGTTATTGGTATTACGGGGGCGCTGCTGCAGGGGCAAGCAACAGCGGTACAAGGTAAACTAATATTGGTACGGGCGCGCTGCTGCAGGGGCATGCTAGTGGTACTAGGTACACAGGTGCGCTGCTGCAGGGGCATGCTATAGTGGTACAAGGTACCCTGTTAACTTGTTAACACTGTTATGGGTACGGGTGCGTTGCTGCAGGGGCATGCTATAGTGGTACAAGGTACCCTGTTATGTTATGTTATGGGTACGGATGCGCTGCTGCAGGAGAATGCTAGTGGTACAAGGTATACTATGGGCGCGCTGCTGCAGGGACATGCTAGTGGTACAAGGTACGCTGTTGTGGGTACCGGTGCGCTGCTGCAGGGATCTGCAGGGGCATGCTAGTGGTACAAGGTACGCTGTCACTTTTATGGGTGCGGGGTGCGCTGCTGCAGGGGCATGGTAGTGGTACAAGGTACCCTCCCATGATAACGCTATTGGTACGGGGTGCGCTGCTGCAGGTGCATTTAGTGGCACAAGGTACGCTGCTATGACTGCTATGAGACTGTTATTAGACTGTTATTGGCGCGCGGCTGAAGTTACGGGTTGGTTCCTTCTGAGACCTGAGATCTGGAGCTCGTGGTTGAGGTCTGGCAGTGCTGGATATGAAATAGTAAATAGTACGATAAATAATTTCATTCGCTGTTGGGTGGCAAAGCTGGGCTAATGCTACAAAACCCTCACGCTTTGCTCACTTTTGACAAGATCCACAATCCCTTGCACCTGCCACGCGGAACGACATCTTAACGTCCAAAAGTGGTCCGAAACCCTGGTGTTTTTAACATTTTCACTTCGAAATGTGCTTCGCGCCACAATGGCGTGCACTTTTTCGACATCGCAACTTCCAAAAGTGGTCCGACAATGGTGTGCTTTGTACATTTTCACTTAGAAATGTGCTTCGCGCCACAACCGCGTGCACTTTTTCGACATCGCAACTTCCAAAAGTGGTCCGACTATGGTATGTTCTATACATTTTGACTTGGAAATGTGCTTCGTGCCACAACCGCGTGCACTTTTTCGACATCTCAACTTCCAAAAGTGGTCCGAGAATGGTGTGTCTTGTACATTTTGACTTGGAAATGTGCTTCGTGCCACAACCGTGTGCACTTTTTCGACATCTCAACTTCCAAAAGTGGTCCGACAATGGTATGTTCTGTACATTTTGACTTGGAAATGTGCTTCGCGCCACAACGGCGTGCACTTTTTCGACATCTCAACTTCCAAAAGTGCTCCGAGACCCAGGTGTTTTGTACATTTTGACTTCGACATGTGCTTCACGCCGCAACGGCGTGCAATTGTCCATCTCTCATCTGGCCAGCTGCTCCGCACCCGCCGCTTTAGTGAGCCTACTTTTCGACCCTCGGAGCCACAAATCATTGGAAAAACACGGTGTTTCGCGACTTTCCTACCTTTTGATGCATCTGCATCTTCTTTCTTCTGAGGCTTTCTCTTTCTTCTTCTCTTCTCTTCTCTGACTCTCTTCTCTGACTCTTCCCATCTCTGCTTTTCATCTGTCCATATTGTCGGAAGTTTGACTTCTGAGCTTCCTTCGATCATTCACGTATCCCATATTCAGTCATTAAGGTGGAAGTAAAACATATCTTTGAAACCCAGAAATAGCCTCCGTCTCCGAAGTCGATGCCGGCACGGTCGTCACCGTCACCGTCTCGGCGCTTACGACCGCGACGTCGCTAAAAGCGGCGCCGACGGCGGCGCTGTCAATGAGGCTCAGTGGGTTGGCGGGCTCCTGGATCCACGGGAAATTGATCAGTTACCAAGTGATCTTTTTGGTTCAAGGAAAGATTCAACTAAGGTCCGGGTTAAAATCATTAAACCCCTAAGAAATAGGAAACCTATAGGGGAGGTTGTGGTTGTTGTGAATCAGAGATGGCAGAGCGAAGCCACTGATGGACCGAAAGGTGCTTGAGGTCTCCTCTCTTTCTCTCTCTTTCTCTGACGCTCTACCTACCTACCTATCTATGTATCTATGTATATATGCATCTATCTATCGATCTATCTCTCTCTCTCTCTCTCTTTCATCTAATTACCTATCTATCTATCTATCTATCTGTCTGTCTGTCTGTCTGTCTGTCTGTCTATCTGTCTACCTGTCTATCTCTGGTGCAGTGTCATTCAGTGTAATGTAGTGTAGTGTAATGTAGTGTAGTGTAGTGGAGTGTAGTGTAATGTAGTGTAGTGTACTTGTGTGTATTTGAATGTAATTGAATGCAGTGTAGTGTAGTAGAGTGGAGTGTAGTGGAATGTAGTGCAGGTGTAGTTGTATAGTTGTAGTGACATTGTAGTGTATTGGAGTGTAGTGTGGTGTAGTGAAGGTTGTAGTTGAAAATGCCACAAAACCCTCACGTTTTGCTCACTTTTGACAAGATCCACAATCCCTTGCACCTGCCACGCGGAACGACATCTTAACGTCCAAAAGTGGTCCGAACCCCTGGTGTTTTTAACATTTTCACTTCGAAATGTGCTTCGCACCACAACGGCGTGCACTTTTTCGACATCGCAGCTTCCAAAAGTGGTCCGACAATGGTGTGTTTTGTACATTTTCACTTCGAAATGTGCTTCGCGCCACAACCGCGTGCACTTTTTCGACATCGCAACTTCCAAAAGTGGTCCGACAATGGTATGTTCTGTACATTTTGACTTGGAAATGGTCTTCGTGCCACAACCGCGTGCACTTTTTCGACATCTCAACTTCCAAAAGTGGTCCGAGAATGGTGTGTTTTGCACATTTTGACTTCGAAATGTGCTTCGCGCCACAACAGCGTGCACTTTTTCGACATCTCAACTTCCAAAAGTGGTCCGAGAATGGTGTGCTTTGTGCATTTTGACTTGGAAATGTGCTTCGTGCCACAACCGCGTGCACTTTTTCGACATCTCAACTTCCAAAAGTGGTCCGAGAATGGTGTGTTTTGTACGTTTTGACTTCGGCATGTGCTTCGCGCCACAACGGCGTGCAATTGTCCATCTCTCATCTGGCCAGCTGCTCCGCATCCGCCGCTTTAGTGAGCCTACTTTTCGACCCTCGGAGCCACAAATCATTGGAAAAACACGGTGTTTCGCGACTTTCCTACCTTTTCGCGCATCTGCATCTTCTTTCTTCTGAGACTTTCTCTTTCTTCTTCTCTTCTCTTCTCTGACTCTCTTCTCTGACTCTTCCCATCTCTGCTTTTCATCTGTCCATATTGTCGGAAGTTTGACTTCTAAGCTTCCTTCGATCACTCACGTATCCCATATTCATTCCATATTAAAAAATTAAGGTGGAAGTAAAACATATCTTTGAAACCCAGAAATGGCCTCCGTCTCCGAAGTCGATGCCGGCACGGTCGTCACCGTCACCGTCTCGGCGCTTACGACCGCGACGTCGCTAAAAGCGGCGCCGACGGCGGCGCTGTCAATGAAGCTCAGTGGGTTGGCGGGCTCCTGGATCCACGGGAAATTGATCAGTTACCAAGTGATCTTTTTATTCAAGGAAAGATTCAACCAACGTGTCCGGGTCCGGATTAAAATCATTAAACCCCGAAAAAATAGGAAAACCTATAGGAGAGGTTGTGGTTGTTGTGAATCAGAGATGGCAGAGCGAAGCCACTGATGGACGGAAAGGTGCTTGAGGTCTCCTCTCTTTCTCTCTCTTTCTCTGACGCTCTACCTAACTACTATCTATCTATGTATCTATCTATCTATCGATCTATCTCTCTCTCTCTCTCTTTCATCTAATTACCTATCTATCTATCTATCTATTTATCTATCTATCTATCTATCTATCTATCTATCTATATCTCTCTCTCTCTCTTTTTCATCTGTCTATCTGTCTAGCTGTCTACCTGTCTACCTGTCTATCTGTCTATCTATCTATGTATCTATCTATCTGTCTATCTGTCTACCTGTCTATCTGTGGTGCAGTGTCATTCAGTGTAATGTAGTGTAGTGTAATGTAGTGTAGTGTATTTGTGTGTATTTGAGTGTAATTGAATGCAGTGTAGTGTAGTGGAACGGAGTGTAGTGGAATGTAGTGCAGGTGTAGTTGTATAGTTGTAGTGACATTGTAGTGTATTGGAGTGCAGTGTGGTGTAGTGAAGGTTGTAGTTGAAAATGCCACAAAACCCTCACGTTTTGCTCGCTTTTGACAAGATCCACAATCCCTTGCACCTGCCACGCGGAACGACATCTTAACGTCCAAAAGTGGTCCGAACCCCTGGTGTTTTTAACATTTTCACTTCGAAATGTGCTTCGCGCCACAACGGCGTGCACTTTTTCGACATCGCAGCTTCCAAAAGTGGTCCGACAATGGTGTGTTTTGTACATTTTCACTTCGAAA